GGGAGGAGGCATGCGCCAAATGTGCTCTTAGTCAACAGAAAAGCTACATTCAGGTGTTCTGCTAGAATATTTCACGTCCTTCTTTTTCTGCAGTAGGCCTCTAGAGAAATTTAAAAAAATTCTTTTTATGCTCTCCCGGTACGGATACTAATTATTCTTCTTTCTCGAAACGAACATATTTTGGCTTGTTTTTTAGACTACGTTCGCTATTTTTGCTTTAACTGTGGGCGAATTACAGAGCCGTAATACAAATTGCGTACATTTCTCTCAAGCAACTAGCGTGAGAACCTTTATGTTTGTGAAATACATGCGGACTGTGAAATAAATCTCGCAGAATGCATTCTACCATGTACGCGAAAGTTGTATCTTCCAAGACATGGCCGACAATTTCCTGGTTACTTCCGGAATATTTTTTTAATTTTTCAAATATTACGGGCATGGGAAAATCAGACCATATCGTGTTGGTATCAATGCGAGTTTCTGGAACATTAACTTACCGACATTTGCAAGTCTACTTTTGTAAAAAATCACATTTTTTTAAAATAACGTGGTTTCGCACATATTGTCTGACTCGGCTTTCCCTGATTTAGAAACGCGCTGAATTAATATTTATCGCTTGAGATACCCATGCAGATTTTCAGCTGTAATCTACGGTAGTTTATAGTTCAGTTGTTTTTCTGAACGTAAGGAAATGTCTTTTTCGACAAAACGTTACGCGTGAGAAAATGGCATTCCATTAGACGCGTTTTACTGCTAAGTAAAACACGCAACGTGCGAGATGTCCCCGCTTGACTATGTGGGTTTAGGTTACCAGATGTCTTTTACTGCACTTCGTTTAGGTTAGTAATTTTTTGGCATAACTGAGGAGTTTCTTTGAACCGTAAAAACGATCTGCCCTAAAATACACAAATTCAATTTTAATCCAGGCTGCTCTGGTAACGCATCCCTATATAATCCTGCATTTCGCACGGTGAGTTCAGTTTCCTACAAGGTTCGCACCTAAAAAAACTTGGTTCGTATTAGTTGAAGGCAAATGTGTCTAACGGAACTAAACAATACGTGGTTATCAAATCACATTAACTGTTTTCGTTTCCACTGGGTTGAACGTGCTCAATTGCGACTGTATTTCAAAAACACAAGTCTCCTTTTCAATA